CAGGTCTAGCCAATCCTTGATTGATTCCAGGTGTCCCAGTCAAAACGAACTAGCCATCTCAACCAGTTCATGATTGCCTGCAGGTGTCTTAATTAGCCTGCAGGGTAAACCTTGTTTGATTTCCAAGGAAACAGGGAACTGTGTAAACCTGGGGTTAATATTACCTGTTTTCTGCTACTTTCTTGCAGCCATTTTGCCAGACCCCATCAAAATATGTATTCAATTGTTGGTGCACATGTGCCCCCCCATGCATACAAGTTCTGATAATTTTTGCCAGCAAAATCTGTTCTGACTGTGTTTGACCCCTCAATTCCCTTGTACTTCCTACCTAAAGACGTAAATGATAGTGTCCTCAACCACCTCTCAATTCCTTCACCACCACAGAATCCAGCCATTTCAGGACTCCTTAATTGCGTGCGTGTGTGGGGGATGGGGGAGAAGAACAGGCCACAGCTGTAGGAGAATTCAGAACTGCTCTTAGAAATTCTATCTTTTAAATAGGAACTGATCTCTCTTCATTTACTTGAGTCCTATACAAGTAAAAAGTTTTAGAATCTGCAGCAGAGCTGACTGAAAAACATTTTTTAGTTCTGTGAAGATCTGAGTTTTCAGAAATATTTTTATCCCAAAATGGAATGAAATGCCAAAATGTACAACTTATCAGAAACTGAACTCCTATAATACTGTGTTTCAGAAGCAATAAAAGGTGGTATTTCCAAAACAAGAAGTATGGTCCCCTTGATCCCCTTGACTAGCAGGTAGCGCAGGTCTTAAAGCTTGAAGATTTGTGTTCAGTCTTAAGAACTAGACCTAGTACTGGGAAGTGTCAAGAGATAAAGAAAACTTCCTCTTCTGAAAAGAAACACTAAAAACTAAACCTAATCCCAATGACTAACTGCTAAATTCTTCTCTATTTACAAATCAGTGGAGAGACCACATGAAGGAAGTTTGGACTGTGCAAGTTCCAACTCATGGCCATAGACAGCAACAAGGAACTGAGGAACAGTTCAGGCCACAACACTCTTTATATACTCAGGTGGAAGGAGATTTGGGGGTAGACATGGTTCCTTGGATACCGAATGCCCATTTGCGTGACTGAAAATATATAACTTAATATTGATAATTGACACGCTGATTAATAGCATAAATGAAACATTGTACTCACAGACTTTATTTAATGGGACTTCTGTTGCTGCTGAGAGTACAGGAGTCAGAGTTGAAGTGTGCAAGGGGCATAGGACACGGAGCTAGGATGTGTGGGAGGGAGGTGCAAGAGGCAAGGCAAAGTGCTGCAGGTGGGAAGTAAAGTATTTTGGGGGTCCTGGGACCAGATTACCTTACCTGGCCAGGGCTGGGCTGCTGCACCTGGGGAGCAGCATCTGAACAAGGGTCCAGGCCAGGATCCCCACACCTGGATCATGGTCTCCCCTCCTACCCATGCCACAGCAGGAGGGGAGCTGCAATCAGCCCTTCTTAAGGCCAGAAGGGGACCTAACCATGGGGCCTGTCCCAGGATCGGGGCTGGAGACAAGACATTGCAGCCAGATGGGGGCTGGACTCCAATTGGGGCTTAGTTGGCCAGGTTGCCGGGACCAGAGCCCAAGCTAGATTGCTGCAGCTGAGCTGTTACAGCAGTTGCGGGGATGTCATGGCTGGGCCATAGGGTCTGCCCCGGAAACACAGCAACTAGTGACAGACTGTGGCAGGCAGATGAGGGCTGGGGGCAGGCGGAACCATCTACTGCCTCCAGCCCCTCATTATCCAGGCAAGGAACACTCACACGTCTCCTACAGCCCGCCCTCTGCCGGCCTTTTAAATGAGCAGAGTTCCCCAGCTGGCCCATTTTACACGTTTTTAACATTTTGAATTAATTTTCCATTTTAATTTAAAAAGTTGTGTGTATTTTCGGAATGACAAAAGACCAGTGGTTCTGAGACTTTTTGGCCCATTGTCCACCCGGTTCAATGAAAACCTTTCCATGGACCACCAGCTCCTAATACATAATGAATGGTAAGTTTCTAATTATGCCCAAGCCATTTTGCTAGTGCTGCAGCTAAGAGAACCATTTAATTTAACCAGTAAGAAAGGAAATATTAATCTAAATGATTAAACAGATTAAGCATTTTAACTCTCTCATGTTAGTTTACCAAACTTCAAGTAAAATATTATGTTCAACACAAAAGGTTTCAACATTGTCTATTTATGAAACGGGTGGGAAACCTTTTTTGGGTCAGGGCTACTGACCCACAGAAAAGACAGTTGGGAACCACACAAGTGAGAAAACAAAACCTTCAAAAACCCCCAACCCTCACTGATGTGGCCCCCAACGGAGATACCTCACTCCCCTGGTGCTCCAGCCCCATAGGTGGAGGGAGGCAAGGAGGACTGAGATTCAAAGGCCTCAGGCCAAACTAACTTCTGAGGTTCCAGGATTAGTGGATTTTGTGGGCCCCCAGGCTCTGGGCTGGGGCTAAAAAGGAGGGATTAAGGGTGCAGGACAGGGTTTCCAGTGAGTGGGATAGGGATGGGGGTGCAAAATCTGTATAGGAGGTGATGTACAGGAGGAGGTGAAGGTGTGAGGTCTGGATGGGAAGTAGGGTGCAGGAGCAGGTGGGGAGTATGGAGTTTGACCAAAGGGGAGGGGGCAGGAGCAAGAGTGGGTGCAGAGTCCGGCCAGCAGAAGGGGTGCAAGAGCAGGATGCGGGGTCTGGGAGTGAGAGAAGAAGGGGCACTTGCTTGCTTTTGCGCCCCATGCTGCTCCCAGGCACCATGTCCCAGAACGGACGCCGGCTATTCCCACTGGCTGGATTCCAGCCAATGGAGCAGCGGGGAAAGCGTCCAGGCAGCATGCCCGTGCACTGCTGTTTCCCCAGCCAGGTGAGAGGGAGCAAAGAGGGAGCAGTAGTGCACGGAGCCACATCTGGCTCTGCTCCTTCCCTGATCGCACAGTGAGGATTGGGTCTCTCCCCTCCCCCCACCAAAGCCAGCGCTGACTCCAACTCTGCATGGTGGGGAGGAGGAGAGGGTTGGAATGCCTGTGTGTGCTCCCCATTGCAGGGGGAGGCTAAGCTTGAGCTGCGAGCCATATTTAGCTCCGTACCAAGCCATATTTAGTTTGAGCCATAGGTTGCCAACCACTGGTGTCGGAGGTACAGAATATATATGGACATGCACCCTTCCACATACGGTTTTCAGGAGTGGATACTTCATAAAGATAAATTAGAATATGAATCTAGGGATAATGGGCAGCACACAAGAAAGTTTAAATCAAAAAGGTTAATTTAAAGAAACAAAGGAAGTGATAAGACAACATGTTTAGACACTTTAACACGTAAGAAAGATTGTAGGATAAGCAGGTAAAGTTTATGGAGTGCTGTGAAAGTAAGGAACTTCTTAATTTATATAGAAAAAGGGAAGAAGAGGTGAATGAAGACATGTTCAGACTGGTTCACAGTTCGAGAACCTTTTTAAAAAGACATCAAATAAGACTTAGTCAGAAACGTAGTTACCAAGAAGTGAAATAATTAAAGAATCTCAACCCTTTCCTCGTGAAATTTCAGATTCTCAGCAAACCTGTTGCTTTTGATAAGTCATATTCTAACCTGTTGTATATTACTAGGATAAACACTGACATAAAATTAATGTTATATATAGAATTAGAAATATTTTCTACAAAACGTTTAAAATTCTATACCGTTTATAACCATTATTTCTTGCATGACGTTATATAGAGAATTAGAAATATTTTCTGCAAAACATTTAAATTTCTATACCGTTTATAACCATTATTTCTTGCATGAGACAAAAGGCAGCTTTTGTAACTAGGTTCTATCCAGAAGCATACATTAGGGGGAGATTTTTGAAAGCTCAGAGGACAATTGGGCATGCAACCAATGCTCATTTGTACCTTTAAAAATCTCTACCTTAATGTTAATTTGCCCTACTCGAACCTTTGAGATTTCATATTTGTTCATATTCCAGAATATTAACAAAACTAAAAATAATTTAGTTACCGTAGTAAAAACACCAGACGCTGTAGACCATGAAAGACATGGAACCAATGGCAATGGTTTAGGCCAGTTTGTCACTGCTAATGAAGCCATCTGTTAAATTTAAAAAAATGGTTATCAGATGAGCTACTGCATATTTTAATAAAAGCAGTCAACAACATACCTCTTTAGCCATTTTTGGAATTTTCAACTTTCAAGTATTTCTTCACACAGTAACTGCTTGGACGAGCGTGCATCCTCGAGAGAGACAGAGGAGAGCAGAGAGGCAGGAGGGGGAGAAGAGAAACAAGTATTTCTTCACACAGTAATTGCTTGGACGAGTGTGCATCCTCGACAGAGGCAGAGGAGAGCGGAGAGGCAGGAGGGGGAGAAGAGAAAGAGAGACGGAGCGGAGAGAGAGAAAGGCAGAAGAAGAAGAGAAAGGGAGAGTGAGAGGCAAGAGGGGGAGGAGAGCTGAGAGAGAAGAAGAAGAGAAAGCGAGAGTGAGAGGCAGGAGGGGGAGGAGAGCTGAGAGAGGGAGAGGGAGTGGGAGATGGAGCTAGAGACCAGAGGCTCAGGAGAGAAGACCAACATGGAGGAGAGACCTGAAAATCCCATCTTATGATGGGCTAATTGACTAGTCTCTTAATAGTGAGCAAAATAAGAAAGGAGAGAACATGGAGTTAAAAGAATCAAAGTCTCTGAAAAAGGAAGAGGAAGTTTCTAACTCAGTGGTTCTCCAACTATGGTCTGCAGAAGACCAATCAGCTGTAAAACCACTGACTACAACCTTTTGAATATCAAGTTATAAGAACTACAATAAACTTTCAAACAAGGCTAGAAGATTTAATTTGAATGCTTAGATCTAAAACAAAATTCACTTTCCCATTCACGAACTGATTCCTCCAATCCCTACTGTAGCACCATTCTCCTCCCCTGACCTGGCTAAAAAAAGTGACAGAATGGGAAGAGGCAGCATAAAATGAAAACAAAGGTCTCATCTATACAGTGGGCAACAAGTATCTTAAATAATATATATGTAACTACAGAAAGGCATATGTATGCACACACACACACACACACACACACACACACACGAATGGGGGAAAGATCATCAATTTATCTAATCAACACTTTCTTTTAAAATGGTGAAGTCATTAATTTTCTTCATGAGAATTTTATATGAAGTTACTCTTCAAAATACTAAGGAGTCTATTAAACATTATATTAGCTAACTCTGTGGACCACTACAGTGTGTCAAAATTTAAATAGCTACATTAAATGGAATAGCAATAAAAGTTACTGAGAATTATACTACTAGATTAACCTGCAACAACGTTAACATTCAGAGTACAGTAAACTTCCGATAATCTGGCACCTTTAGGACCAGGGGGTGCCGGATTATCAGATAGCCCCCCCTTCTGATAATCCGGCATACGAGGGGTCTGGCCCCAGACCCCTCAGAACCCTCCCCCCCCTTCCGATAGTCCAGCTCTGCCCCAGGCGTCCCTGATTCAGCCACTGCTGGTCAGTTTCAGCAGCAGCTGAATCAGGGATGCCTGCAATAGAGCAGCTGGGGTGCTGCCAGGGTGG